GAATATTGACCCCATTCTACTCCAATTTGCTTTCAGGGCTAATTACAACAAAGTTTTTAAACTAAAAGCAACAGTCTGTGGGAGTAAATAAATTGAGCTTATCACTCATGAAACAGTAACCAAGAGAATTTGATCCCTAATGCTATGTTTGATTATTCATATTTCAACTTAATGATTAGTGTAAGGCTCTCAACTTCACAATAGACTACTGTATGTTGAAAATCTGTAAGCATTCAACAGGAAAGTTTAATGTATAGAGAAACCTTGATTTATAAAGAGATACAATATTGAATAAAAAGACTTGTATTTACTAACTAGTATAAGTATTTTAAAAGTGCACACATAGCTTGAGTTTCACCTTTGAAATAATAGAACAACCTGAGAGTCGCCTGTACAGAGTACAGCCTTGAGAATTTAAATGCTCAAACAGCATATCACACAAGAGTTTTTTAAAAAATTCAATGGATAGAATTAGTATTTATTTAGTCTATGATATACACGTTATCCAATTCAATCAAGTTAAAATCTATATTTTTAAAAATATCATTACTAGGGTGTAATGCAGTCTGATGCTAATATTCACCCAGTTATGTTTGTTATTTTCATAATATTTCATCATTACTATTACCTTACTCCCACTAATGAACTCGATTTTCACTACTTAGTTACTTAACACCGTATATTACGTGCTAAGTTATTAATATTTTTCCAGTTTTCTTAGACATTTATCTTGGCTTTATTCAGCTTGTCAATATTTAAATCATACACGAAGTCAGTCACAGAACAAACTGCTCATTACCATGGTTAAAAACCGTGAAAATGAGTGATGGAGTTTCAGATCCCACTATGTCAGTCAATTTGCTCAGGATTCTTGGTGAGTTTTGCTGAAAGTTGTTTGCTAAAGCGAAAGTTAGGTTCATGCTTTTTTGTAGATTATCTCCAGTTAATACTCCAGTGAATTTAATTATAAAGTTCATTTTTAGACTTCTGTCTTGATGCTTTTATTAGTTTTGTTTTCTAGAATATTCATAGCGTTTTCTTAGGAATAGTCAATCGTATGAACAATGCCATTACTGTTCTACATTTATTACTCCTTACAAATCTACATATATATTCTCCTGCTAAGATTAATAGATTCATATTATTCTACTGCAATTTTTGCATTTAGTTCAATGGAAACTAGATTAAGTATACCCAAAAGATTAGCAGTAAAATATTTCAATTCATTAATATACTATTTGATATTAATAGTGATAATAATAATATTAATTTTCACACAGACCATTTCAGCAAAAGCAAGATAAAGTAATTACTGAATGTAGTAGATAAAGTTCTACTTGATTGCTTTTTTCAATAATCCCAGATCATTTTGCACAGCTTAAGTGATTTTCTGTTATAGTGATATTATTCTAACATCCGGAGCAACACGTTCACTCGTCTATTAACCAGGTAAAATACTTTTTTTATAATTAAGGGTGATTCCTACTTAGTCTCTCAGGAACATGCAATTTTTAAAATCACTCATCTTTCAATAAGCCATCACAACTAAAACGAATCAACTTATATCTTGTAATGATCATGATTTCCATTTGAATCTTTGTGGTGTTTGAATGAACTAATGATTCGTTTGTACTTGTTGAATGCTTGATTTCGAATTCCAAATACAGTACATTCGTTTTTGTTTATCTAGTACTTCTTGATCCGATTACGTTATTTCTGGGATTCTTAGTTCATACTATAATTCAAATACTCCTAATCATCATAATTTTTTTTGTACATAGTTCTTTTCTAACAGTAAATATTTGTCATGGAGTAATGTAATTTTCCCTTTGGATTTAAACCAATCATTTGAAATCTACAGCCAAAAAAAACCAATATAGTAATCGAATATTAAGAAAGGTAGTTTCATTATTTGATGTTTTCTCTACACATTATTGATTTTTGTAAGATTAGGTGAAAGAAAGGTTACAATATTTTCTATTCAATATCATGTATATACAATGTAGAAGACTATTATTATTCAGTAAAGTTACATTACTAGTTTACACAGTTATGAATGTTTATTATTGTTATGCATGTGCACAAATATCACAAGAAAATTTGATTGGACTATATATGAAAATGAATAGGAGATTTACACAGTTAAGAAATGGAATATTACTGACTTTTTTTCAATAATATAATACAAATCTTTCATTGATATATTTCAATGGAACGCCCACGTTCCAGTAATTCCATGTATATATATATTTATCGAATGAAAATTCCATCAATTTTAGAAGCTTCATTTTGTTTTACATTAGTGATTCTGTGTTAAGTTAACATGGGAGAAGAAGTAAGTTAGATTTTGATAATGATTAATATATCATGAATATTATTTTTTTTACCATTTATTCTATTTCACTGGTTGAAATCATGAGTCAGTTGAAGCTAGACCACCGTGGAAGACCTGAAAGCACTGGGGTCCTCGGTTCGAATCTCGTGGGGTGCGGGATCGTGGATGCGCACTGCTGAGGAGTCCCATACTAGGACGAAACGGCCGTCCAGTGCTTCCAGGTTTTTCATGGTGGTCTAGGTTCAATTGACTCATGGTTTCAACCAGTGAAATTTCTAAGATCTCCACAAAACCCCTTCTGACATTTATTCTATTGCAAAAAATTATATTGATTACCAAGCAAGTAAAGTTGAGTGTTAAATATGGTTAATGGTCAGAATAGTGTAAAGAAAAGGTAAGTACATCTAACTGAATTATTGCTAGTTGTGATAAGGAGTGGAAGTTTTTTTTACATATCAAATCTAATAACATAACAACGATGGGTTATTGTGTTTGAGTAACTATATTGAACCTAATACTTTTATTAAATACCAAACTCTGTCATAACTGTATGGAAGAAATATAGAGAGTTCTGTCTAACAACAAATATGTTTATTGAGAAAGATTTCGTCTACGAAAGCTAAACAGTGTTACCTACTGTAGTACTGTGAAAGCAATCCTACTGTTCCAGTTGTACAGTTATAAAAGCAAATAATTAAGAGATGATATATCTTACATCATTATATATAGTTTCTTCATATCTTTTGATAATCTACAGCCATATCCCTCTAGGTAGCTACTTTGTAGTTAAATTTACTTTTTGTAAGAATACTTTGATTTTACTTGAGTTATTTGTTAAGAATGTATTGAATAATAGATAAAGAGGCAATTTTAATGAGTTGAATAAATCTTTTCAGGTACTCATGGTTTTTCTGAGATTTATTTTCCTTCTAGTGGTTTCTTTCCTTTCACAAAATGGCTATTAGTCATTATTCCTGTTAAATGTCATAAGCCACTTAAACCGTACTATTCCGACAGAATTGCTTGTATTATGTCTTAGACAACAACTCAGAATACAAGCATTCAAATATTATTAAAGACATTATAGAGATTTAATCTTTAAAGACATATACTTTTAACAGCTTTTAAGAAAGTGAACTGATATCAGTCGACTAGGTGCTGCCATTTATCCAGTACTAATTGTTATTAAAATCTTTGTTTACAGAGTAGATAGGAAATTGCAATACAGTGAGTCGAAAATAGCACCCTATATAACTGAGAAAATAAAATTTGATTTAACATTCATCTGCTCTAAATTATTCATGAGATGACTGGGAAAATCATTAAGCTTGATTCATATGTGTCAACGAGATTAAAAGATCCTACAATATTGAGCAAACTTAACTGATTAGATTAAAGGTGGGAACATTAAAACAAGTGGTAACCCCTGGAAATGCGTTTGAAAGTGAACACGAATGTGATAACTAGTATTCGAAACCAAATTCAATATCCTTTCAAAACAACATGAGGTGGTGAAGTAGGCTAATTTCTCGACATTAGTAACATAATTGGTCTCACCAGATTTTAGAATATAGCTTTTACATTAAGTTATTGTTTTCAATTTTTTGATAATTAGGAAACTCAACAAAAGTAAAAAACAATTTTAACTACTGAATTGTTTTCTTAATTATTCACTTGAGATTTCCTATATAATATTCACCAATACAAGAGAATAGAAATTCTAAAATCCCTTATTTAAAACCCCAATAAATGAACTTCTGTTATTACCTTAAACGAAATTATTACTTTATCAGAGGATTATTCGTATTTTTATCGTTACAATTACTGTTATTACATATCATATGTGAATATATAACAAATGTTTAAATGGACAGAGAGGTTATTGACTTATTAAGCGCTGAAGTATCCGTATTTACGGACTTTCATGAAATTTTTGTTTAGAATATATACTGTCGCTTTGCAGTATGTTAATTAATTGATCATAGTTGAAATGATCCACTAAGTAGATAGAAGTTTTCAAACATTACCTATTAGTAGTCCTGCTTATTTCACTAAAAATATGTCTAACCAATTATGAATACATCATAAATATACTGCATAGAACATTTGGATTATACTATTGTGTCTAAAAATCACTACGAATATTGTCAATCAATCTTAAATTGCTTCCAACTTTAATTCTGTTCATTTATTTCTACCTGAAGTTTGTGCTGATGATGTCGTTTAGAAGAACGATGAAAGCTCCACGACCAAACCATCCAGCTCAGAGAACAAAACTCCATCAAAATCATTTAGTTGTCGATATTCACCTTCTTCCGTTTATATTCTTCCCTATCTGAGTAGTTATACACTTCTTACTACATAATTTTAGTAAATTTTATTGATTATCATTTGTGTTGAACTACTGAATGAAAATTTAATCCTTTTACTTCTCTTATCGCAACTAGCACATCTACATTTCTACTAATAGCTGGTATTTTTTTCTGCCTATTACATGTGGCTATGCAATCTACTTCATATTGAGAATTGATTCAAATTGCCCTTATTGGTTAAATAGTTTCATATATCCTTATAAATATTCTTGAATATTACAGTAAAGCCTGATAACGATCTTGTTGTGTGCTGTTCTAGTTTTCATGATTACCGCCTATCGAAACATATATGGTGTTCCTTCAAACAATAATTCACGTACATATAACTACCTAAAACTAATCATTATATCAATGGGTCATCAAATAGAATTACAATCTATTTATTCGTTTTTTGGCGCCATTGACTACTGAATCAAAATACTTTTTTGACATCAGATAAATATCTGTAGGAGTTTAACTCAACGGTAACACTTACGTATCTGAATAATTATTCTGAAGAAATTTATAGCTCTTTAATTTAGATAACAAATTATAAGTGGATGAGTTTCAATGAAATAACTTACTTTGGATCCTAGAAAGTTGATGCATTACAACGAAGGTGAATTCCTCGTAAGTAACAATCTATGAAATAAGTTTAATTACATCAACCAATATTCAAGTTACCTCTTATCATTCCCACCCATACCAAGAAATCAGTCTCTTATTCAAATATATTTCAGATAAATTATGCGAGAAAAGAGTCATTTGACGTAGACTGATACAAGTCTAATATAATCTATATAGTTACTTGGAAAATACAGATTCCTATGAAAGATATCTCCATCCTTTTTCTAACCGAATCAGTTAAGTGTTAAAATCACATGTTAATTATAAGTGAGCTATATCATCATTAATCATATCAAAGTTATTAGTTTTAACATATTAACTACCTCTATGCAACATATAAACCCATCTTTTTTCTTCTATAACTCATTGAAAATCATTTTAGAAAAAGGAAAAGAAAGAAAAGAAAGAGAAGAAGGAGAAAAAAGAAAACAAAGAAGAGGATGCAGGAGCTCCAGCAGAAGATAAAAAAGAGACAGCAAGTAGTGGAGGTGGTGGTGGTGGTAAACGAGCTCAAAGAGCTACTTCAAATGTTTTTGGAATGTTCCCTCAAAATCAAATCCAAGAATTTAAAGAGGTATACCTCCAATCTATATAATTTTATAATAAAATAAATATCCATATGAATGGTTAGGCCTTTACGTTGATCGATCAAAATCGTGACGGATTTATTGATATTGAAGATTTAAAAGATATGTACGCATCGTTGGGTAAGAATTAACTTTGAAATGTTCAATTTAAAATGAATGTATTTCTAATTTACATAGGTCGGACACCAACTGATAAAGAATTGAAAGAAATGTTAGATGAATCACCTGGTCCATTGAATTTCACAATGTTTATCAACTTATTCGGTGAAAAACTAAATGGTAAACTTTTTTGTTGTTGACTCAAGTTAAATAATTCATGTTTATTTTTTAACTAAACCACCATATTTTAACAGTTGAACTCATGAGTATCAATCTAAGCTAGACGACTACTGAAAACCTGGAAGCACTGGAAGGTCGTTTCTTACCAGCTTGGGACTCCTCAGCGGTGCGCATCCGCGATCCCATTCTAGTACAAAACGGACGTTCAGTGATTCCAGGTTTTCAATGATGGTCTAGCTTAAATTGATACTCGTGAATTCAACTGTTAAAATACTACAATCTCCACAAATCCTCACGATGATAAACTACAATAGTTAATTTTAGTTTACTTGTGGAGAATTTCAGACACTAACAAAACATATGTCTATAATACAACCTTAATGTTTCGAGTTTAGTAATGTGTGCGGTTATGACTACCTAGTAATATAGATTTCCAGTCTAATATTGTATAACTGTTTATTGCTCCTTGATTTAAATGATTCACGTATAAATTTCAATTCATTTTAAAAGTAACCATTAAAACTATAATGAATAAACTATCTTTTCACAATTTTGTCTTGTGTTTCAGGTACTGATCCTGAAGACGCACTACGTAATGCATTTGCAATGTTTGATCCAGGGAACAAACGATATTTGGAAGAAGAATAGTAAGTGTTTTATACCTTACAATTAATCATAATCATATTTTAGCATCAAAGATCTTTTAGAAAATATGGGCGATAATTTCTCTGCTGAAGAGGTGAGTGAATGAAACTGAATAATAGTCTTTTCTTTGAATACGTAATTTTATAGTAATTTGTTATTTAAGTTTTAGAATTCGAAATTGTTTAGGTTAAATAAAATAGATGTAAGTTAAGGAGAATATTCATAATGATCAGCTAATGTGTGAAATAAATATATGAATAAGCCAGTGTACATTTTAACTATTTTTGTCAATTCATCTTGGAACTAGACTCCATTTTCTTAAATGTAATATAACATGAATTTATGCTAGTAATTATATTCTAATTATAATGTTTGCATATTGAGCTTGAATTATTTATTCCTTGGTAATTATGTCCGAAATTCAAATTGACTGCAAATTTGAGGGTACAGAAGAAACAATTTGTGACTACAAAATGAATTTTGTACTATTTTATTCGTAAACTTCCCTTTTACGGCACTTACTTCATAACCCAGTCGACCAACAGAAGAAAGAGCAAGGGAGAGAGTTGACAGTCTTGTCTGACTCCGGTCCTTACTTGGAATGCATCTGTCACCTGTCCTCCATGCACTACTTTGCATTGTAGTCCGTCGTATGAGTTCCGGATAACGTTGACAATCTTCTTAGGAACTCCGTAGTGTCGAAGAAGTTTCCATAACGTCCTCCTATCTACACTGTCAAATGCCTTTTCATAATCAATAGAGTTGACGTACAGTGACGAGTTCTACTCAACTGATTATTCGACGATGATCCGTAGTGTCGCAATTTGATCTGTGCACGGCCGATCCCTACGGAATCCAGCTTGTTGATCTCGAAGTTCGGCTTCTACTGCGTCTTTCATCCGGTTCAGCAACACTTTGTTAAAGACTTTCCCCGGTGTTGACAGTAGTGTAATGCCTCTGTAGTTCTCACATTTGCTCAGATCTCCTTTCTTTGGTATATTGATGAGGTGTCCTTCTTTCCAGTCCACCGGCACTTGTTCCTCCCAAATCTTTCTGAATAGAAGGTAAAGCATGTTTGTAGTTACTTCGATGTCTGACTTCAGTGCTTCGGCCGGTATGCTTTCTGGTCCTGCTGCCTTCCCGCTCTTGATTTGTCTGATGGCCATTGTGATTTCTTCTGCCGTTGGTGGATTGTCAACTATAGGAAGATTTGTGTGTGCTGCTTCGATGTCCGGTGGATTCATTGGAGTCGGCCTATTCAGGAGTTACTCGAAGTATTCTACCCATCTGTTACGCTGTTGTTGAATTTCGGTGATTGGCTTGCCTTCTTTGTCTTTGATCGGTCTCTCTGGTTGACTGTATTTCCCTGCTAGTTTCTTCGTTGTATCGTGAAGCTGTTTCATATTTCCTTCTCTTGCCGCTTTTTCCGCCGTCGTTGTTAGTTCTTCCACGTATTTCTGCTTGTCGGCTTTAATGCTCTTCTTCACTTGCTTGTTTGCTTCCATGTATTCAGCTTGTGCTTGAACTTTCTCTGCTTGTGTTCGGCTGTTGTTTATTGCTGCCTTCTTGTTCTTCCTTTCTTTGATCCTGTCCAGTGTTTCTATAGAGATCCATTCCTTATGATGACGCTTCTTTAGGCCCAGAACCTCTTGATACGTTGAAGTTAATGCTTCTTTGATATCTTTCCAGTTGTCCTCCATACTAGTTTCTTCTTCTTTCAGTAGATCTTGTAAGGCTTGGAACCTGTTGTTGAGAGCTATCTTGAATTCATTGAGTTTGTCGGTATCTCAAAGGAAGGCTGTATTGAACCTTTGTAGTGCTGTTTGTCCAGTTGTCCAGTTCTTCTTTAGCTTCAGTTTTAAATTGGCCACAACTAGGTGGTGATTTGAAGCTATATCAGCTCCTCTCCTACTTCTCACATCTCCTATTGTCCTTCGGAACTTTTTATTGATGCAAATATGATCTATCTGGTTCTGTGTTGTGTGGTCCGGTGAGATCCATGTAGCCTTGTGCATACGTTTCTATGGAAATATTGTGCAGCCTATGACCAATTTGCTGAATGCACACAGATTTGCAAATCTTTCCCCATTTTCATTTCGCTCTCCCAGTCAATCCATGTCGTTTCATGATATCTTCATTTCCGATGTTGTTTATTCCAACTTTGGCGTTTAAATCTCTTATCAGAATGGTGAAGTCCTTTCTTGGGCACTTCTCTATGATTGATTGCAGCCTCTCATAGAATTGATCTTTAATTTCGTCTTTGCTATCATTGGTGGGTGCATGACATTGGATAATATTCATTGTGATCCCCTTCTTCTTTGTTTTGAATGATGCTTTGATGATTCTGAATCCGTGAGATTCCCATCCTACAAGTGCATTTTCGTGCTACTTTGGACAGCATTAGAGCAACACCCTGAGTATGTGAAGTATTTTCTTCTTCGTGGCTGGAGTATAGTAGCATCTCTCCCGTATTTGACCTTTGTTGTCCAGCTTGGGTCCAATGGGTTTCACTGATTCCCAGTACTGCCAAGTTGTATCTCCTCATTTCCGTTGCTATATGACTGATCTTTCAGGTCTGCCACATTGTCCGGACGTTCCATGTACCTATAAAAATTGTTGATCTGTTTGTTAGAAGGGGCATCAGCCTCGTGGCTTCCGAAGGAACTCGGCTTTCACCATGAGGCGTCATAGTTCTTCTAAATGAAGACCTTCTAACTCCCATGGCAGAGTTGAAATGGTTTGAATTATTTTTACTGGTTAGCGTTTTTTTAGCGAGTTAGTTTTCTACGCGATGGGGTCACTAACGCTCCTCCTTTACCCGGGCTTGGGACCGGCAGTAACTCTAGAATAGCTACAGGCGAAGTTTCCCATTTACGTACTTATCAATAATGTAGTTACAGGATACTCATTTCTTTGATTCACAGGTTTGTTCGCATTAATGTTTTTACCATCCCTTATTTACGTCAGCGTTTAATATCAGAGAATTCTAAGTTGAGTGCAGTTTATTCCATAAAACCCTAAGGATTTAGACTAAGATTCGAAAACACTGGACAATTATCTAACACAAATTTCAAAAAAATGTTTCACCTATTTCAATAAATCTTAATTGTAATTTAAATGTATATCATCCAAACCTTTAATTTGACCTTTATGTAGATAAGACAAACGTGGAAAGAAGCTCCAATTAAAGAAGGCAAATTGGATTACGATTCATTTGTAAATCTCATAAAGAGAGGCAATCAAGACATTTAGGACCAACATTTCTATAGAAAGGGTGAAAAATAAACTAAATTCATTCCCTTGCATATTCAGCCCCTTTTCCTTTTATTATGCTTTAATGAATAAAATTCCCTGTTTTCACGCTAAACCAAATACATGCTTTCCCTCTTTGTTTTAGTTTTAAAAATATTGATGTATGTATTCGATTTCTTTTATCTTTGATGGTTAATATTCTTATTATTCTTATTATTATTCTGCATGACTAGAATACTGTTTATGAGAGTTATTTGATTCGTTATTTTCTGTTGGAAGGTCTATTTAGTTTTATTTCCATTCATTGAAACCTTTCCAGCTTTTGTCAACTATTCATTCCGTGCTCGGCTTTAGTTGTTGTGGCCTTAATAATTTAACTTATGAGATGAAGCGTGTTAAAGAATCCAATTATGGGTGAACGGCGACAGATACTAGTTATTTTCAGATCTGCTAACTGCTGGTGCTCGAATAATCTAAAAGCCTTATATCTTATAATCAATCTGCTTACTTCGTCGCTCAAAAATCGCCATTCTTCCATTGATTATACTTATTATTAATGGACCAGATCTCCATAGTCTTTTGTATCTATCTTTCTTGTTGTTGAATATCTCTTCACTTTATTCTATTCTTAATAAGTGTGCTTGAGAAAAGAAACTTCGATTTAGCATTGAAACCTTTCGTCACCGATTCTTGTATCAAGCATTTACTCAAAGGAGAGGACATTCCATTCAAATGTCCAAGTTTGTGTTTGGTTTATTGGCGATACAAAATGGTCCTTAGCATATACATTTTTCAGGAGCATAGACTTACAAACGACACGAGACGAATTGTTTCTAGTTTTCTGAAGAAAAGCCTGGACGGTGTATATCATGGGTTAATTTCAGTAGCTAATAAACAATATCAATCATTGGGCAAAAGTGAAATGAATATTTTTCTGCTGGAGACTAACTAATTTCGTTGTGTTATTCTCCATAAATTAAGCGTTGATCTTGAACGGTGATGATCCCAGGTAAATTGAACTTCACCGATTAAAGTGTTTTCAATCTGGGTTGGTTCATTGCAATCGAAATGATTTTTTTTCACTTAAAAACAAAATATTTATTCGTATTACTTCCTATATGTGTGTTTGATGTGACAATGCGTTTTCTTAAACTTTCAATGTTTGTTTCTTACTATTTTTATGAATGTTCTGTCCCTACGTATTACTTGTACACATTATTTTATGGAACTGTTGGGTGTTATGCGTGTTTTACTTCTTTCATTTTTGCTTTACAGTTGTTTCAATACACTAATCATCTAGTTAGTTTGATCGAGTGATGATTTTTAGTTACCTGTGTTATGTATATGAAGGATAAGTATAGCAGATTAAACGAAAAATGGGTATTTTTAACATTGAACCAGACAGACCATTACATGGAATAATTTACTGAATGAAAATGGGATAAACAACAAAGAGGCTTATAAAATGAACATTTCAAGAATCTTTAAGTAGACGTACCGATAGCTAGACTTTTATGCGAATATGAAAATTTCTGCTTCAACTGTTCAAAGAAAATCTTCAGACGAACTATAGTGACTATAGTTTGTGGCGGTTCATTGGCATAATACCGTCGTTTATGAGCATGTCCAATATGTCGCGAATGACTTTTATGCCTGAAATGTGGCCGAGTAAAGCAAATAGTTCTATTAGAACGACAGCACATGTCAGCAACATTAGACTAAAAAAACACGGTTGGACCACTATCATACAAGCCAGCCCATAGAATCCCTTGAATAAATGGCGTCAGTTTTATCTGATCAGAGCTGGCAGCCAGAATATCATCAATATACACAAATACAAGTCCAGTCTTCTACAGACCTCACCTATTAATTGTTAGAATGTTTGAGCTGCATTTTTTAGTCTGAGTGGCATCTTTCAGAATTTAAACAGATCGAAAGTTGTGGTGACGTCTGGGTGGTAAGGGAAAGTTCTTCATGGGATTAAGCTTATGGTACACAAATGCTCTCAGCCTGAAAAATAAGATGGCGGAGCTCAAAACAGTGGCGGACACAGAAAACTCGGATGTCATTGGCATCTGAGAAACAGGGTCAACGTCATATGTCTATGATAGTGAAATTCAATTGCTTGGTTTATTACTTAATCGGGCTGAACGACTGAACCTTAGGGGTGGTAAGTTTATTCTGTATACGAAAAGCACCTTAACCATATGAGCTGTTAGGACGGTCGTACATGGCTCAGAGACATATGAACTGATGCGCTGCCGACATTAGATTAGCTGTAGTATGTCACTCTCCAGAATATGCAGTGCGTGGCTTCCTTCACAGTAAATTTAATTCCTGGTCAAACAGGTGTAGGCGACTTTAATGCACCATCTACAAATCGATGAAACATAGATGTAGAGTCATCAAAAACATTGCGAATCGTTAGAAACCACAATCGCCAATATTTAATCCAGTGCATTAGAGATCCCACGAAATATGACCTAAAAAACTTCTCGTCTCATTGGACATACTCTTTACTCACGGTGATGATGCCAGTCAAACACGTTTCCTCTCATTTTTAGGAAGAATTTATCGTGCTGCTATCTTATCCACGTTCTTGGCTGAGATGGATTTTCAAACAGCTGTGACACCCTGCCCTAATACATGTAAAGCAGGCATGAAGGCGATAAGACTCACCTGAAATCTGGATAATAAACTCATGTACGTCAGAAGAAGAGGCACAACTAATTTTCCGGCAAACAAACCATAACATTACTCAACATTTTATCCATGGACAGTCCCAAAGAAGAAGTGCGGCCATCCCTGGATAGACCAGGATACCATGACGTAAGAAGAAACGTTGGAACATCTCTATCAGAGTTGAAACAGCAAGTACGATGGAACGTTACAGATCGGTACGAAGTAAGTGTGTAGTTTCAATCCGGGAAGCCCAGCGAAAAGAGTAAAAAGCATTTGACCTATTCAATAATCAAGCAACTTAAAAGACTGTTCTCGTACACAAATTACGGAACAAGGACACCGCATTGGATTCTCAATCTAACGACTGAGCACGTTTGACACCGAAAAATTAACATGGCCGTATGAACTACGTGTTAAAATCTTGAGACTAATTGCACGATATACTGCTGTCATATGACCAGGATGAGTTACCTATAGACCAGAAGGATGCAATTGTCACTCCAGTACAAAAAACAGGTTCAAGACAGCCTCCATCAAGCTACAGACCTGTTAGCCTAGCCAGCGTCGTAGTTAAAATAATCGAAATAATAATCAAGATGACTACAATGGCGTTTGCAGAAACCAAAAACTTTTCAAAAAGCGAACAATATGGTTTCTGAAGTGGTTTATCTTGAAAAACAAATTTCCTTATAGCAAGAAAGCATGGGTTAGAGGTTCAAGATATTAGAAAATTAGCGAATATTGTCTACATAGACTTCAGCAAGGCATTTTTTAAGGTGCCAACAAATGGACTACTCTTGAAGCTGCAAAACATAGTGATTGTAGGATACCTCAGAAGACGGACTGAGAATTTCCTGGTATGAGATAGATGGGTAGTAGGGACAAATTCATAGTGCTTTACCTGGAAATCAGTACTTTGTGGAGCTCCACAAGGCTCAGTCCTAGAGTCCCCACTTTGTATACTGAACGTAAATGAAGTCCCAAGTGTAGTGTAGTCCGCGTTGCTACTCTAATCTGATGATGTAAAAATCTGGTGAGAAATAACAGAGGATGTAGTTACATGTGCACTTCAGGTGACTCGGATATTCTGGATAAAGTACAGAGGGTAGCTACCAGAGCAGTTCCAGAACTTCGGGGTTTGCCATAAAAAGAGCAGCTTGAAAAGCTAGACTTCTTTACTCCAAGGTACGGCAGATTAATATGCAATCTGATTTTGATGTATCCAACTTTAGGAAATGATTTTGGACCTGATATATCCTCTCTTTTTCTTCCTATCAGATTGGGTAAACTCAGAATACATAACACGGGGTTGGAAAAGCCAAGGACAAATGAATTACGAGTGGTATACAGACGTTCACATAGAGACATTGTAGTGTGGCGTCGAGTCACGGTTGACTATGATCACCACTACAAGAAGGTTGCGTGCCAGATGCCAGAAGTCTGTTGATAGCTGTAGTCGAGTTGTATTTGTTGGTGACCTCATGGTATCGACAACTGAAAGAACACCGTAATAAGTTCTGTCTTCAAAAAAAGAAGGCGCGCTATTGGTTTGTATGCCTAACACGTAAGGTTGATAAAATTTAAGAAAATAATAATAAAAATAATATGTGCAGGTTTCCAAATGAAAAGTTAATGCCCTCCCAAATCAAGTATGATTTTAGAACAGACTATTCAAACGTTACAATCTTGAGAATGTTCATTTTCCCTAAAGGGCCGATCACTAAGATGTGGCATTCACTAACTGAACACGTGGCTTGATCTCGACCTGTCAACGCGTCCGAAAAGAAGTCAGACAGACTGAGAAACGCAAATCGCCAGAACAAGCACAAGCAATCCAATTGACTGGCCTAAGCCACGCGCTATTGTTTTGGTGGTTTATTACATATCAAGACCACCGTTCACCGTTCAATTGAATTTACTTAATTTAAAGTATTCTGTAGCGGTAAATAAATCCCCAAAATAAATAGCTCTGTAAGTTTTCGACATTGGATGCTGACCATATGTTTTAGTGGACTCATCTAGCTGAAGGCGCTCGGTCAGGCATCCACACCAGATCACGTGTGGTAACGCCGTGCTCAACATCAACCGCAATCGCTAGCCAGATTAGATCAGAGAATTTCGATATATTGGTCATCGGCAAATATACTCTTCCGATCTCCTCGACTCTGTCTTTTGATTTCTCTGGGCGGGAACGAAATATATTAGGTGTTACTGGTAGAAGCGTTGTCAAACACTGAATACCTGTGACATCATCATTGGTGAGACCGACGTGATCTGGTACACCTAATTGCAACTGTGAGTCTGTTCCTTTTTGGGAT